AGAGTGCTTGTCTTCAGCTGAAGAGCTGAGGGACAGCACCCAGTCCCAGAGTCCCGCAACCAACAAAAATTAAAAAAATAAAAAACTTTATTAGTATATATTACATGTAAAAAGTAATTTCATTGGGCCAGCAATCTCATCCTATCACTTTTCCATTTTAAATCTTTTCACTACAATCGTGAATGCCCGATAAGAGCATCTGTCTGTCACAAACTCATGAGTATCGGGGTTAAAAAAAATGATCAGGGCTGGGAAGATGGTTCAGTGGTAGAGCGCTTGCCTTGCATGCCTGAGGCCCTGGGTTCGATTCCTCAGCACCACATAAGCAAAATGAAAAAAGCCGGAAGTGGCGCTGTGTCTCAAGTGGTAGAGTGTCAGCCTTGAGCTGAAGAGCTGGATAGTGCTCAGGTCCAGAGTTCAGGCCCCATGACAGGACCCCCCCCAAAAAAATTGATAAGTTAAATATTTCAAGTCAACCCTTTGTATGGATGTTAACACAATCTTTCCTATTCTTAGACACTATGAAACTTGGGCTGAGAATATGGCTCAGTGGTAGGATGCTTGCCTGCTATATGAGAGGTTCTGGGTTCAAGCTCTACTGCAGGAGGAAAAAATAAAACTTTGAAACTTAAGAAGTGCTACCATCAGTGCTCAAATTCTATTTTCTACACCAAGTCTTGGAATCATTATTTCTTAGAATTTTTATTTTTCTGTCAAGCAGGTCTTTTCTGTTATACTCCATGTAATGTGTTAGTTAAGGCAGTAAAATATAGTAAGTTCTTAATTTTCCAGAGTTAGAAGTTAGTAGGTAAGAAAGAAAAGTCAAAATTTATTTATAAAATTTCTATGTGTGGGGCTGGGAAGGTGGTTCAATAGTAGAGCGTTTGCCTTGCATGCATGGGGCCCTAGGTTCGATTCCTCAGCACCACATAAGCAAAAAAGAAAAAAAAACTGGAAGTGGCGCTGTGGCTCAAGTGGTAGAGTGCTAGCCTTGAGCTGCAGAGCTGAGGGACAGCACCTAGGCCCAGAGTTCAGGCCCACGACTGGACCCCAAAAATTTTTTTTCTATGCGTTTCTTGAAAATTAGTTAAATAAAAGAGAGACAATCAGCAAGGGAGGTTAACATTTACAAAATAGAGGAGAAAAGCAACTTAGTAAATAAAATACTTTTTATAGTATGGTGTTTTGAATTCAGGGACTTCCACCTGCCCAAGTAACATTTTCCCATTCGAGCCACACCTCTAGCATCACTTTGTGTTTATTATTTTGGAGATAAAGTCTCATGGACTTTTTTATGGACTTTTTTTTAACCTGGGCTGGCTTCCAACCACAGTCTTCCTGATCTCAGACTCCTCATTAACTAGCATTTATATACATGAGCCACTGCTGCCTAGCTTTGCTATGGTTTTGACTGGTTTATCATTCATGAATTTGAATGCTGAAAGATTGGTCCTCAGTGTAATAATGTTAAGAGACAGTAGAACTTTTAAGAAATTAGGCTTAGAGGGAAGTAGTTAGATTACTGGGAGCTTGATGCTTGGAAAAGATATAGTTTTCTCAGAAACCTGGTTAGTTCCTGTAAGATCCCATTTTAACTCCCTCTGCTAATTGTGAACTTAAAAAAAAAACAAGCATGCAGAATGTAGGTATGAATTGAGCACAGAATACCAGAAAAGTTACCCAAGTCTGAAAATCTAGGAGGAAAGCTACATAAATAGCAATGAAAATTAGCAACACACTGCAATAAACATGAATAATTTTGATTCCAACATAATGAAGCCACTAGATTTGTTTGCAAACCACAAAATAATACATCGAAATCAATTATGACAAACAGAACATAAAACAAGAATCTCTCAGATATGACTAGAGCCCTGTGTGATATGTTTTCTTATGCTGGGTGAATAGACATTTTCAAGCACCAAGTAAATCGGGGCTGGTTGTAATTCATGGTACATCTCTTCTTAATTTTGTAACCTTTGTCAAGACCAAGACCAGGTTTCTTGGATGTACAAGTGATTCACATTATTTAAACTGTCAGTTCTTTATTTCAAGCTTGGCATCTATAGGAACTGAAATGGCAGAGTATTTGTTTCATAAATACAACTTATTTATAATCATCAAGAAAGAGATTTTGCTTTGGTAACTTTGAAGAAATAGTAACAGGAATTCTAAGTTTGAAAATTGTACAGCTGTTCAAATGTTTCTGCATTTTCTTGGAAACTACCCAACATGTTAGGAAAAAATGCACATTTATTGGCTTGCTAAAAAAAGCCAAATAAAGGTAAAAATGCATTTTTAATCATTTTAATGTTCTACTTGAACTTCTGTACTGATTTAAAATCCAAATTATTTTTCATGGATCACATAATTGTGCAAGACCTCCTGTACACAAGAAAGCAAAGGAGAACACATTCTTAAACATAAGGGAGCTGGTGTAGAAACTGTAATGTGTGAAGAAACGATAAATTTGTGGGGCAGAAAGACTGTGCTTTCCTCTCTTGTTATTCCCTCTGAACTGCCAGTAGGCTCCCATCACACTAGCCTTATTTATGTTCCTTTTTATCTTTTAGTGGCTGACTCTATTTTTTACCTTCAGGTTTTGGCTTAAATCTTATACCTTCCTGGAGGCCTTCCTTGATTTCCTGATACAAGGGCTTGTATTGAAGATATAAATTTTGGAATATGGATGAGATTACTTTTGGAGAGAATATGAAGTAATAAGAATAGAAATAGAGTCCACAAGAAATCTCATAGAGAACAAGGGATTATTAAAGAATCAACTCAGATGATTATAGAAGCTGTAAATCTATCATCTGTAACCAGATATCCTAGGAAAGCACAGTCTGCCTGAGAACCATGGTAGCCACTGGTATAAAATCCCACTCTGAGTACAGAAGATGAGATGAAATGTCCCAACTCCACAGTGAAGTAGTCAAAAGAAACAATTTTCTCATTTTCCTTTTATTTAGATCTTCAGTGAGCTAGATGATGCTATTCACATTGTGAAAGGACAACCTATTTTACTGATTCCACTAATTCAAATGGTAATATCATCCCAGAACACTCTCACAAACACACCTAAAAGTGATGTTTAATCTTGGCACCATAAAGTTGATTGAAAAAGTAGCTATCATACTTACTATATAGGAACAGGCTTGAATGCAATGTGTGGGAGTCGGTGGAGAAGACCTAAAGCAAGAGAGATAGATAAAGATCATACTATGAATGGTCTCCAATTTTGCAGGAGATAAGATTAGTAATATTATTTCTGATCTATAGTACCAAATTCATTTTTGTCACTATTCTCTGAATGTGCTTCAGTTTGTATATAGTTCATCCAAAGGCATACATAATAACCAAGATATATTATGCCATACTTAGGGTAGTACTACTTGTTATAGTACCTTATGATTAGTATTATATTCTTGGTATACATGGGAAAACACTGAGAAATGAAGAAGAGTAACTTGAACAAAATATTTAAACCTTTGACATTTTTCTTTCTCTCTGCCTAAATAAACTAATGAATGCTAGCTATCATTATTATCTAATAAAAAATCTAATGACAGATAATTAGTGGTAAACACAATGTTTGCTCAGTAATACTGTTTCTTTTTAGTTTGGCTCTACTGCTTACTAATCGTGACAATCTGTGAGGACAGTCACTATTACTATCTTCATTTTAAAGATATGAAAACTGAAGCTTGATGAGAGGAAATTTTTAGGAGATAGAATCAATATAGCTTGCTTTTGTCTAATATAGCTTTGAGGAAATCTACCCATTCAAAATAATATCCAGCTTAGTGGTGTGGTAAACTGACTGGTTGAGACATGCGATTAAGAGGAGATGTACAAGCAGGTTAGGGAAGAGTGGAAATGTATTAGGTCAATTGGGGAGTACTTTGAAGTTTCAGGTACCTGAAAAGTTTTTGGTCCATTTATGATTAGATAATTGACTCTAAAATATGGGAGTCTTGTCTAGGGTTACTATATATGGGAAATATCAACATGTAGAATTCAAGCAAGGCCAGGCGCCGATGGTTCACGCCTGTAATCCTAGCTATTCAGGAGGCTGAGATCTGAGGATCACAGTTCCAAGCCAGCCCGGGCAGGAAAGTTCGAGAGACTCTTATTTCCAATAAACCACTAGAAAACTGGAAGTGGCGCTGTGGCTCAAGCGGTAGAGTGTTCGCCTTGAGCTGAAGAGCACAGGGATAGTGCCCAGACCCAGAGTTCAAGCTCCACGACTGGGAAAAAAAAAGTCAACCAAAGTAATAGGGAGGATTAAGAAAGTATAGGGAAGAGCCTCACAGAACACGAACTTTTCAAAGGAAAATGAGCTGTCACAGGAGTGGGAGGGAAACCTTCAGAGTGTAGTGTCTTGGGAAAAACTAGAGAGTAAGAAGTTTCTTGCAGAAATTGATTGAACTTTATAGACTTTAGAAATGGCTTGATTTTAGAGAAAAAGACGTTTTGTAAAGTATTTGTTTTAGGAACAGTGTTGAGAATTGTGGACTAAAGAGATGGGAGAATCAAAAGAAAGAAGCAGTAAATAACTACCACCACAATAATAGTAGAATGGGAGAAATGATAGTGAGGGGTACAATTTTCTTGGTGGAAATAGAGGGAGTTCCTGTCAGATAACTTCTATATTGTCTATGAAGTAACTTTAATTGCTATGGGAGACCGAAGGGAGATGGTTAGGGAAGCTCATCATTTACTAGTTTACTCAATACTGGTAGATTCATATTTTTTTTCCACACTTGCATTCTGTCATTTTCTAGAAACCTCCTACACCATTTTCTGTTGTGTACGACAGGAATCTTAACCCCAAGTGTCACAGGCCCGGCAAGTCTGCCCCAGGAACTACAGCTCCCATAATGCAGTGTGGTTCGTGGACTGGTGGGTAGCTGGGAACGTGTAGTTCCCGCCCTACTGCCCTTCCCATTGGAGGAGCGCTCACACTCCCAGGAGGCCATACGTAGTGGGTGGGGGCGCTTTACGCGGAAGTCAGCCTGTTCAAGCCCGTCCTTCTCTGGGTGAGCGCAGCGGGCAGCTCTGGGCCAATCTGCGACCCTCGGTCACGAGCCCGTGTGCCCTCAGAGGGTGCCCGGACAGGTAAACAGAACGAGACGTTCTCCGCGGGAAGCGAGGGACGACGACGGAGAGAACGCGAAGGTGTAGACTTAAAGGTGCTGGGGTGGAGGCAGAATAAGGGTGACTGGGGTTTCTCGATGTCGACAGTTTGGGCAAAGTGTGTTGTATGCCACTGAAAAGGCCTATAGTTAGAGTGTCAGAACGCGTCACTTAAGTTGTCGTTACAGGATGGAAAAATGTTAACTTCCACTCTTTTCGTGTTCTGTTAGACCTTTCTGTAGCATTTGAATCTCCCTAGATAGCCAGTCTTCTAAAAATTCGTTTTGCATTTTTTCAGTGACATCACTTTCTGCTATCCCTCCTACTTGTGACTGCTCATGCTCCTTTTCGAGTTCCTATCACCCTATATCTTCTTCCACTTCCTAATATTGACATTCTTCTTTCTCCTCGGTTTCAGTAGGGATTGTATTTCCACTCAGATCTATTTTCTCGCATCAGATATATATGATATTGTTATTTTTATTGATAGCCAATAGCTATCAAATTGATCATGTGCTTGGCTTTTTGGTAAATACATCTTTATTTCCTGTAACTCTCACAGTGATCAAATCCTTTTCTTTCTATCTTAATTGTTCTCAACTACCTGAAGTACCAGTTTCCCACATTTGATCCCACATCATGCTGTTAATGTATGAAACATTCTTTCCCTTTGAGTAGCTAGTGTGGGGAGCAAGTCCATTTGTATGTGTACCATAATTTATTAAATAACTGATATATACTATATATACTATAACTGATATATACTTTTTAATGTGTAGGGAAACAGCTAATTGTAAGTAATATAGAGCACACCCTTGTCAGGAAATTACATGTTTAGATGGCAAGGATAAACAGGAATAAACAATATGTTATATGTTGTTTAATGCAAAATTTAAAAGGGTGGTTGACTTGACAGGGTAGAATTATATGCTGAGAACATCAGAGGGATTGGGTGAGGTCTCAGTATTGTTCATAAAGAATATTTGTGATACCAACACAAAAAGTAACTTCACTGTTCATGAACATTTTATTTTTCTCATAGCTATGTTCTTAGTTTTTATGTTTCCTCTGAGATTATTGCATCGCAATTTGAAGTTTAGCTGTAATTGGCCTATTTCCTTCTAAGAGCCACAAAGAGTTGGGGATTGGATTACTAACTGTTCAACTGCTTTATCTAAATGAGAGATAGTTTGGTAGTGAAATCGTTCTTACCAGGTCCTACTAAATATATAAATATAAAATTAAATATAAAGTTATCTACCATCTATACTGTATTTAAGACCAAACCACATTTAGTGTTTACTCATTTATTCAACAAATATTCGAGTGATATTAGATGCTAGGCACTGTGCTGAACACTGGGAAAACAGGGTAAAATGAACACTTTGACCTTTTTTCTAAGGAGAACTAATGCTAACATTATACAGAGGAAATTGCTAATATATAAGTAACACCTTCATTCATTCCTTTATCCAAAGTGAGATAATCACAGAATTTTAAGAAATCTGAATAATTGTGGACATTTTTAGATTACTTATTCCTAATGAGTTATTGTATTTGCTTTATAAAGTCTGTTTCTCATTGTACTTTTGCTCTCTTGGGCACAAGAGTCCTTTATATCAACTTTTATTCAACTTTGTATCTCCATTGTCTTCTGCTTGGCTGGAACCGAAATAGAAATAGACTCTCTTTGAACAAATTCAATTGACTTAATTTACATATTAGGCTAATCTATTACCCATCTTAGGTTGTTTTCACTTCTGTGTCTTCTATCCTTGTATTATACCTTAAAAGATTAGTTCCTATCTCTTTCCTCAGTATCTCATGGACCTCTTAATTAAATGGGCCATTTAACCTATGGTATGCGACATGGAAATTTTGTCCGTCCTATGAGACATTTTGCAATGAAACTGTTGCAAGAGCTAATAATGTAAACCATCCCTTTTCAGAAATGCAAGTAATGGTACACAGTGCTTTCTTTGGATATTATATTGATTACTATCATGTACTGTATGAGTTAAATTCTTTTACTTCCTTTAAAGGTTGTACAATATTTGCATATCACATTGTGATGTAATTTGGTTTTTCCTTATTAGAAATGAATATTTGAATATTTACTCCTAAGTCTGAAGTAATTTACATGTTACTGTTATAATGCCACAATATTATTTTCAAAATGTTAGATAAAAGTCTCAATTTTAAAAATTCAAGTTGGGCTGGGAAGGTGGCTCAGTGGGAGAGCGCTTGCCTTGCATGCCTGAGGCCCTGGGTTCAATTCCTCAGCACCACATAAGCAGGGAAAAAAAAAGGCGGAAGTGGCGCTGTGGCTCAAGTGGTAGAGTGTTAGCCTTAGCTGAAGAGCTGAGGGACAGCGCCCAGGCCCAGAGTTCAGGCCCCACAACCGGACCCCCCCCCAAAAAAAATAAAAATAAAAATTCAAGTCTTATTCCCTGCAGTTATCTTTCAATTTTAAGTTGTTACTACTAAGAACAAATTTGTTCTTTAAAACTAATTGAAAACAATGGAAACATGAGAGTGTTTAAGCCATGAGTATCATAATTTTAGGGGGTGTCAACCAAAGATCAACCAGACATGCTTTCAAGACACTAAAAAGTTCTGGCATTTTGGGTAAATTTCTTCACAACTTTGCTTTCATAAACATGAATGTAAATGCAGCACTGGATTTTATACCTTTTTATTTGTAAAGTGTACATTAGATGATCCACAACAGTCTTATAACCTTTTTAATATTATAATAACAATATAGAAGTTTAAAAATTCTCAGATCACATGGAGTTGAGTGTGAGGAATACTCAAGACTTGATCTTTCCCCCTACTCAGTTCCCTGAAACTAGTTTCAACCTCTAGTGAAATGTTCATCCAAACATTTGTATCTTCCTTTGCTATTACTAAATATTTCATACAGGTAATCCATTACAAATGGATATATTTTGAAAGTTTCTTTTTTAAGCTTGCTGTTTGAAGTTCTTGTATAATATAAGCTCTTCCTATATAAATAATGATATAAAAGGGCATTTCACTTGTTATGCCAATTAATTGCTTCTTATTAACTTTTAGTAAAATCCAAGATCTCTCTCACACTGTAATTCTACTATGAAATGTGTGTGGAATTCTCATTTGAATTCAACTACAGCATATCTTTTGGAACTGGAACTTAGCAACTGGAACAAAAATACCTTTTATTTGGAAATTTAACACAGTGACTTCAAGCTTTCTATCACAGAGTTCTATGGACAGGCCTCTAATATGACTGAAGGAAAAGATAGGATAAAGGTTTGGGGAAGAAAGAAAGGAAATTTAGGAATTACTTTTATCTAAAAATAATACTCTGCTTCTTTATATTTATTATTCCTAGTTTTACGCTGAGTGAAGTACTCCTTATTCCAACTGGCCATATTCTATATAAACTTGAAATTTACTACTATATTTTCTTTTTCTTTCTTTCTTTCTTTTTTTTTTTTTTTTACAATTTCTCAAATTTACTTTTTTCTTAAAGAAGTACTTCTAATCTCTGTCAAAAGGGAAGTGAGGAAAGGTAACCCTCCCTTGTAAACACTGAAATACAGATCTGGGAAACGAGGATATTTTCTTTTTTCATGTTAAATATTTCTTGTTCTGTGTGTGTGTGTGTTGTTCTGGGTGTGTGTGTTGTTCTGGGTGTGTGTGTGTGTGTGTGTGTGTGTGTGTGTGTGTGTGTTTGAACTCCAGGCCTCATGCTATTTATTGCTTAGCTTTTTCATTTATGGCTGGCATTCTACCACTTCAGCCACACCTCCAGTTCTGGCTTTGGCTAATTAATTGGAAATAAGAGTCTTGTGGATTTGTTTGCCTGGGCTACTTCTGAACTTTGATCCTCAGATCTCAGCCTCCTGGGTAGTTGGGATTACAGGCATGAGCCATCAACACCTAACTTCTAGATGTTCTTGATATAATATAATGGTTGCTAACCCATTCTGTCTCCTTTCTGTCCAACCTTGAGATACTCAGAATTGAATTCAGTATTACACATGTTCTAAGCAGCACAGACTTTAATGTCAGTAGTACTTAAAGAGATCAAGGCACTTTATATCTTACTGTGATTTAATTTTATGTTAACATTTTAAGTACAACCTCATATCCTTGATTTGTCATGAATTTGTGGTTTGCTAAAACAGTGGATTTTTCTGCTGGGCACCAGTGGTTTGCCTGTAATCCTAGATACTCAGGAGGCTGAGATCTGAGGATTACGGTTGGAAGCCATCCTGGGCAGGAAAACCCGAGATTTATCTCCACCAAACTACCCTAAGGAATTAGAGCTGTTGTTTAAGTAGTAGAGTTCTAGACTTGAGCAGAAAAGCTAAGGGGTAGCATCTAAGTCTTGAGTTCAAGCCTGAACTTGAATAGATTTTTCTGTATTCTTGTAAAACTTAGTTTTCTTGGAACTGCACAGAACTAAGACTGCTACTTTTTCATCTTTTTGTCTGGAGGACCAGAAGATTTTTTTTCATTGTGTGTGTGTGTGTGTGTGTGTGTGTGTGTGTGTGTGTGTGTGTGTGTGTGTGTGTGTGTGTGTGTGTTTCTTTGCCTCCAAACAATGGGCCCCTTCCTTATAAAATTGCACTGACTGTTTTATAGTGCTTAATTTCTATCATAAACATAGCTAACCCCTGACAATTGTTTCTTGAAGTTTTCTTTCCCTTTGTCCTCTGAGCTACTACACTCTTCTGGCTTGTGGATTCAGTTTTATCATCAACACTCTTCTCTTTATCTGAAGATGAGTCATATTTAAAATAGTACATCCAGAAGGATTTATGTGGGGATAATAAGAGTTTAGAATCAATCCCTTAGGGAAATCAACATTTAGTGGTAAAATAGAGAGCAAGTAAACAGGAAAATAGAAAAGGCATCAACAAATGTAGGAATGTTTCAGGAAGGAAGATTGATCTAGGGTGTTCATGGTTCCTGGAAGTTAAGAGGGGTGAGAATAAATAAATGACCACTGTACTTTACAACATAGTAGCTATTGGTGATTTGGAAGCATCTTATTATGAAACAGTAAGAGGAAAAGCCAGAATATAGTAAGTTGAAGGAAGTAGAAAAGCAAGATAATGTATAGACAAGAGACTAAGAAATACAGTAGTACCCAGAGCATTATATATGATTGAGGAAACCTTTAGTCAATGGTATTAAAATGTACACAGCGATTTTGAAACTGTAACTTTCTGCAGGGAATTCCAGAAAGAAGAATCTGAGGACCCAGCCTTGGAGAACAACATTATTTACACAGGAATTCTGAAGACATCCTAAGAGGAATACATCTGAAGAGGCAGATGAGTGCCTTCTGTTCTGTGTATTGTCTTAATTTAGTTCTGGGATTTTAGTAAGGACTCTTAAATAAGAGACCTTAGATGCTAAGCACTTAATAGCCTGCTGCTGTGTCTCACAAAGTATGGTTATCTGAATCATCTACATCCATACAAATTTACTTTAAAACCAGATTCCAAGGCTGCACTTCAGGTTTACAGAATCAGAATTTTATGAAATTATGCCAAGAATTTGAATTTTTAGCAAGTGACTCTTATTCTGCCACTGAGATAATTTGTATTCTCATTACAGTTTTAGAGCCTCTGGTGTCGTAGGTGATAATGAACATGATCACCAATAATATTAGGTTGAGGAATTTATTTGTTCATCTTTGAAAGTTTATGTCATTAAATAAGAGCAACTAGTCTGTTGTATTGTGGGAAATAGCACATATTCATAGCCAAACATAAGGAAATATCTTAAACTCATGCCATATCATTTTAGTAACACTTTATGAAAGCTCTTACCACAGTTTTTAAAACCACTTCCCTCTTGTGGAAAGTTTTTACTTTTTCACTTTATTTCTATTATAGATAATGTCTTTATTTTAGAAGTAGTAAACCATATCACCATAAAATTGTAGATTCTAGAGTCATAGTTCCTCAGTTTAAATTATAGCTCCTTTACCCCTGTAATTGGGGAAAAATCAGTTTCCTCATCTGTAATAGGTGTGTCAGCATATGTATAATTTCATTGAGTTGTTACAATTAAATGGGTAAACAATTACAAAATACTTAAAGTAGTTCCTGTCACATCATGACCATTTAATAAATATGGATTTTATGTGAATCTAGAATCTAATTATGTTAAACAATTTCTGTATGATAAAATTTCAGGATGTTTCTGCTATTTATGTTCATTGCTTTTCAAAAAGATAGTATCAGTTTATGTTATAATTGTAAATGCAATGTTGCAGTGTATCGCTGGTATGTGGATATAAGTGCAGGTTAATGTGTAAGCTTGTGGAAGACTGGGACCTTATTGGTCTGTCTTTCTTGTTTGTGCTAGAGATCAAACCCAGGCCTTTGCAAATACTAAATGTGGTTTCTACCACTGAGTTATGCCCTCAGCTCTTTTTAAGTCTTTTGTTACTGGCAATGTGGCTAGGTGAATTTTCATAAATTATAGTTGCTTTTGAAAGATCATGTTAAAGAAATATGCTAAAAATCTGTATGTGTGTGTGTGTGTGTGTTTTCTTTAAAATAGATTGTGAAGCCATGGCCATTCTTTTTGCTGTTGTTGCCCGGGGAACCACGATCCTTGCCAAACATGCTTGGTGTGGAGGAAACTTCCTGGAGGTGACAGAGCAGATTCTGGCTAAGATACCTTCTGAAAATAACAAACTAACGTACTCACATGGCAAGTGAGTTCTGATCTGCATGTGGTAGAGGGAAGAAAAGAATTTTGTAATCTGAACCCCCAAAAAAGTAGAAAGCAAGCTTTTTAGGTAGATTAATTTGAATGAGCTGACAGATCAGTTACTTTCATGAACTTAAAAAAAAAAGCTTATAAACTTACGGTTATTTTATTCTGTTATTGAAGTGATGATATTATTTTAAAGGAGGATATGGAAATGTCGATGCAAAATTGACTTTATTGTAGAGTTGTAGGATATAAGAAATGATAACAAAAGTATTCCATTGTTCTTTTTATGAAATTCACATAGTACCTAACTATTGCTAGGCACTTTTCTTAGTGATATAACAAGAAATGTAGTATTTGCCTAATAGAGATTATAGTTTAATGAAAAAATCCATAGATAAGTATAATAGATTGGGTAGGTAGTGGTAGGTGGGTAGCATTCTAATTAAGAGGAACAGTAGGTAGAAACTTATGGATGTATATAATCCTATTTAGGGATCTGTAAGTTGTTCTTTGTTGCCTTGGATGGTAAAGATAAAGATGGATAGCAGAAAATTCACATAGGGCTTCATAGTGTATGTTAAGAGTCTGGAAGTGTGTGGAATTGCTAGGTCATAGGGAAGCTCCACTTTTAGTCTTTTGAGAAACCTCCATACTGCTTTCCAGAGTGGTTAAACAAGTTTACATTTCCATCAACAGTGTAGTAGGGTTCTCTTTTGGCCACATCCCTGCCAGCATTTGTTGTTAATGGTTTTCTTGATAATGGTCATTCTAACTGGGGTGATAGAGAATCTCAATGTTGTTTTGATTTGCATTTCTTTTATGGCCAGGATATCTAACATTTCATGAATCTATTGGCATTCTTCTTCCTCTGAGAAGTTTCTCTTTAAGTCTTTAGCCCATTCATTAATTGGGTTGTTTGTTCTTTGAAGGTTTATTTTGGGTGGGTTAATTTTTTGAGCTCTAAGTGTATTTTAGTTATGAGGTCTTTGATGCATAGCTGGTAAAAATCTTCTCCCATTCTGTGGGCTTTCTATTTATCTTGCTAGCTATGTCCTTTGCCATGCAGAAACTCTTCACTTTGATACAATGCCATTTATCCAGTCTTTCTTTTGATTCTGGATTTTTACTTAGGAAGTTTTGACCCATGCCTAGGAGCCCTAGTGTTTACCACACTTCTTCCTGTAATATTTTTGTGGTATCTGTCCTTATGTTTAATCTTTGACCCATTTAGAATTGATTCTAGTGCCACACTAAAGTGTCCAGCACAACCATGTTTATTGCAGCATTGTTTACCATAGCCAAGATATTGAATCAGCCCAGATGCTCCTCAGTGGATGAATGAATTAAGTAAATGTGGTATCAATGGAATTAATGTAATGGAAGGGAATTCTACTCTTCCATCAGAATGATATTGTATCATTTGTAAGGAAATGGAAAAACTTGGGGAAAATGATATTAAACAAAATAAGCTAGATCCAAATAAACATAGGTTGCATGGTTTCCCTCATTTGTGGTAACTAGAATGTGCCTGTAAATCTACAAGTAAACACATAGGTAGTTAAAAAATACACTGGAACATGATAAATTATACTGGTCTTTAGACAGTCACATAGTGAGACCAAAGGAGGATATTCGTAGGAATGGATCACAAAGGCTCAATAGCCATGTGTATATGATCATATAAAATAATATTTTACAAAATAACTCTAAGGTATAGAAACAAGATTTTTTGTTGTTGCTGCTGTTTTTGTTGTCTTTTCCTCTTGTCTATTTTTGTTAGTTTATTTGTTTCTGGGAGGGTAAGAGGGCACAGAAAAAGAGGGTCAAAGGGTAAACAAATGCAGCAGCACTGGTACTCATTAGACACTGGAAAATGAACTATACAATTTGTGGGTGGGGACAAGCGGGAAAAACTGGGTGAAAGTGAGGGAAGGAATGACATGGTCTAAAAAGAAATGTACTCTTTACTTGACTTCTGTAACTGTAACCCCTCTGTATACCACCTCTATAATAAAAATGAAATATATTTTTTAAAGAAGAGTTTGGAAGTAGGAATTTACATTTCCCCTTTGGGAAGTGGAAAAGCATTGAAAGTTTTTAGGATATATAAAGATGACTTTGGTGGCTTATTGGAGGAATCCTAACTGGGAAATCTGAATAATCCCATAAAAATGACTCAGCTTTCCTCAATGATGTTTAAAGAATCTTTTGTTTCTTAATCAATCCTTATTTCCTTAGTTCTTATCTCAAAGAGATCCATGTTATTTTCTAGGGGTACGTCCTTTTTATAATTTTGTCTACTCTAAGCTACTATGAGAAAAACTCTTAAGATACAAAATAAATGTAATGAGAGTCCAGAGATGAGTGTTTCAGAAATGGAGGTTAAAAGTTTTCCAAGAAACATGTAGAAGTGAGTGTGGCCTAACAATGATCACATAACTGCTTCATAGCAATTTCGAAGTCTCTGATGAGGGTCTTTTATTGGTTCTGCTTGTTGGAGAAACTCCGTACTTTCTCCTTAACTCCTGCTCTTGTTACCCAGGAAGTTCTTTTTGGTCAGCTATACCTTTTGGCCATATCCCAAGTGAGTATAAGAAAATGTGTCATCTTTGAGAACTATACAGGTTTTATATCTGCTTCCTGCAGTCTGGTTTGGGGGACCCAGAGATTTCTATAAGAGTTAATCTCACTCTCTGGTGAATATGGCTATAGAGTTTCTTAAGAACCTTATAAGGCTTATAAGTGTGTGTGTGTGTGTGTGTGTGTGTGTGTGTGTGTGTGTGTGTTTCTAATTATTTTCTAGGAAAATGGTCAAGAAAAACATGAAATCTTTTAAGAGGAATATAGGAAACATGTTCTGCTTATATATATGAGCCAGGACTTAGTAACATAGTCACACCTAATTACAAAGGAAGCTATAATAATCTAGTTACAATGTCAATTTTAGTAGAAGAAGGTATCTGCTGTGCTTTTCCATTTTCATCCTGGTGCAGTCTACCCCTGTGACCTATGGGGTGAGGCTCCATCACTTACATTTTTCTTTCTATTCTTCTGCCTTAATTTCTGTTCTATTCTTTTGTTCACCAATTCAATAAAACGTCTTCTTACTTTATACCTAAAGAAGAAAGTCTGTTTTACTTTATGTTTAGTGTTTTTCTTCTGAAAGCTGTTCTTTGTATTCTTTTTACTTTAACAACATTACTGGCTACTCAACTGACTAAGCCTAAACTTGAAAATCATATTAGACTTCTTCACTAAATCCTTGTCATTCTCCATGAAGTTTTCCAATTCATCTATTCCCTTTCCCCTTTTCCCTTCTCTAGTATTGTTTTTCAGTACTTGAGTCCTCAAGTTTGTTCTACAGCCATACTTAACAATGTACAGCTCAATGATGTTTTTCTTCCTTTCTGTCCTTGACAATGGCTCTTAATTTTTATTGGAATGTACTTACCATACCCTAATTTTAAAATTCTGCCATTTTCTCTCTGAACTTAGATAGTTCACCTTCTACAAAGTACGAAACTCCAAGACTGGGGTGCTTCTATGTATCTACCTACCATCTAGTTTAGTACTTGTCACACTGTGTTGTAACTGCAATCTTGGTTTTCTCTGTCACCTGACTTTAGGCTCCTTGATGAGCAGGATCATACTTGATATTGTTTATGGCCTTTGCACCAGTGACTCCTAAATATGTCCTAGGAGAGATTAATAGAGAAAATGATAACTCTTAGTTTGGGACGTTATGTTTAATTGTCTATGGTATGTCCAATTGGATGTGTTTAACAGACACTAGTGTAGGTCAGACTGGAGCGCAAGATATAGATGATACTTAGATTTTGGTAGTCATTAGCAAATCTGGCAACATTCTCCCCCAGGATAAAAGCTATTAATGCTTGTTCATTTTTCTTAAGATAATAATACCATATATATGTATCACCTGGCATCTGGTTATATCCCTATTATCATCCCTTCAGGTAACTTATTTTTCTCCATGTTCTGTACTTTAGTCATGCGAATGAATTTTACTTTCCTAGATCTATTATATGCTCATTTATCTCTAGCTCATTTATCTCTTGATGATTCTTTGAGTTGCATTCTCTTACTTATTCTTCAGGTCTCAGATCAGACATCATTATTTCCAAGGAGTCTTTTCTGGTACCCTTGAGCAAATCTCTCTTACCTGTGTCCTGTGTATCCCCCGAGTACCATGTACTGCCTGTAACTTTATCATCATTATATTAGCTACACTATACTGCAATTACTTGCACTGTGATCCTCAGCAAGACAGGGATAAGTTTTGCATTTTGATATCCTCATATGTAATATGACAACTGGATCGAACTAGATACTCAAACAAATATTATTGAGCATTTGGTAGAAAAGGTATTTGCTTTGAGATATTAGTAAAAAGCAAGGAAAGCCATGTGGTCCATTGATACTAATACTTAATTTAAGATGTCTTCTCTTATTCATGCCTGAAGAGCCCAATTATCCTTTTACAGCAGTAATTTTAATGGGTAACACACATGCTTTTGTTTTATGTCATTAGGGTAGAGAACTTCTTATTCACTCCTGTTGGTTTAAATTGAGAGAAACAGATGTATGAGGAAGGTGAGGAAGAGAATCGATTTTATTTGCAAATAATATGTTAGCATTATTGGGTTTGCCTATGCATACATACAAGATAGATATAAAAGGAATATTGCTTTTAACCAAAGTAAGTTATATATCTTTTATTCTACAGTTATTTGTTTCATTACATCTGCCAAGACAGGATTGTATATCTTTGTATCACTGATGATGTAAGTAACTTGAAGGCATATTACTATTTCATTATGTGTACTGTTAATGCAGTCAGTTCTTAATTATTTATACCTATGGTGGGTAAAGGGGTTGCAAACTTTTTGTAGCTTTTTTTTCTGTTCTTTCATTTGTTATATAGCTCTACATATGATAATCTTTTGTACTTAGATATGTATAGATCAGCTCAATTTTTACAGTTTTAGTTTAATATCTTGAAACTTCAGCATTTATCTTGTTCTATTATTAAAATTAATTATTATAATTATGATTTTTGGAATCACCTTCTCAAAAATGTGACTACAATGTTAAATACACTTTATCATAACTCTATTCAGTAGTTAATAAATTTTAATGTGTGTAGACTTTGAAAAGAACAAATAATACATTACAATCAGTAATCATGTAAACTTATAGTTTATTTCAGTTATGTGACATTTTTCATGGGACTGAGGTTTGAACTCAGAGCCTTAGAATTGCTAGATAAGAGCTCTGCTGCTTGAGCCATGTCTCCCATCCAGTTATGTTCTGGGCATTTTTTTCTTTATTATTTCTTAGCTCTATACTCCAAAAACTCTGTAACTTAATGATGCCATCAACAACTCTTCTCTTTCTTGTCAGTTTCTTCCCCTAGAAGTTTCCCTAATGATTGCATGGAGCTACATGCTTATTTAGTCATGTATAAAGAATAGGAATTAAATTCTCTAGTCTTTTTCTTTTGTTGGTAGTAGGGTATGAATTCCGAATGTTGCCCTTATTAGGCAGCTACTCTGCCAGTTGAAGTATGCCCCCACTGTCTTTTTTGCTTTTACTTAGTTTTTGAATAAGATCTCATTTATGCCCAGGCTGGCCTAGACTGTAATTTTCTTCTTTGTACTTCCTATGTAGTTTCCCCATCTCTGCTTCCTGAGTAGCTGCATTATAGGTGTGAGCTGCTGTGCCATGCCTTTGTATTTTAGTCTCTTATTATAGGAATAAGGAAACATTTCCTAAATCTATGCCTTCTCCTTACTTTTGAAGTGACTATCCTTTCATGTCTTACTGGCCACATGCTTATTTCTAAACTGTTCTGGTAATGGAATTGGCACAATTGCCATGTGTTAGGATCCCTAATCTTTATTGTTTTGGGGGTATTTTTTGTTTTTGTTTTTTGGATTTTTATTTTTATTTTTTGCTGGTGCTAGGGCTTGAACTCAGGGCCTGGGCACTGTCCCTAAGCTTCTCTGGACTCAAGGCTAGTGCTAAACCACTTGAGCCACAGCACCACTTCCAGCTTTTTCTGAGTAGTTTATTGGAGATAAGAGTCATGGACTTTCTCAATTCGCTTGGCTTCGAACTTCAATCCTCAGTTCTCAGCCTCCTGAGTAGCTAGGATTATAGGCATGAGCCACCAGCATCGAGCTCTAATGTTTATTGTTACAGACCCCTTTGTCACCTATGGTCATGTTCATAATGTTATTAAATATATGAAATAGTATGCATGTGATCTAAACAAAACTGATTATACTAAAATATGTGTATTTATAATATTGAACATATTTTAAATGATACAATAATAAATATACTTCTTTATGAGCTCATTAACAGTACCTAGTCATGAGTCTAATAACAAGTAATAAGTTTGAAATAGAGATGAGCTTGAATGTTCTCCATGTATCTATAATGGCCATGGTATATAAAAAAGATTTCTGTAGATGACAAAATTGCAATTACTTCTTAATACTCCTCTGATTTATTACCTACATTCACAGTTAAAAGGACAAAAAATATTTTGGCAGTACTGGGGTTTGAACTTGGGGTCCTGTGCTTGCTAGGCGGGATCTACCACTTGAAGCCAGGACTTACCCCACTTAGCTTTAGTCATTTTTTTTAGATAGTCTTTTTTGTGTAAGCGCAACATTAGACCATGGTCCTCCTACATATGCTCTGTGTATAGCTGGGATCACATAAATGAGCAACCATGCATGTTATTTGTTGAAATGGGAGTCTTGCTAACCTTTTGCCTTTGCTGGCCTTGAACTATGATCTGATCCTTCTCATCTCTGCCTCCTAAATAGCTGTGATTACAGATATGAGCTACTGCACTCTGCTATGGTTGAAAATTAAGTTAAAGACCAGTGAAAATAACAATGCAATTTTTTTTTCTGTCTAAGAGCATGCTCCCTTTGAATTTTTAACATCAACTCCATTTTTAAAAACATTGGTCTAGACTAATTATCTTAGGTGAAGTGGAAAAAAAGAGTGTCAACCATAGTGATAATCATAATGATTTTAACCATGGTCTCATTATACCTTCTAAAATCAGGGGAAAACAAACAAACATCAACATCTGACAAAACTGGTATGATAGAGCTTGGAATTGATGAAAAATATCATGAAATCTTGAATTGTCAAATATTACTTGAGCTATAATTTGATACATATTCATGTATATGTACTTATTGACTGACTGGGCATAGACAAAGTTATTTCACATGACCCTTTCCATTGTATTACCATTATTTGCAACTATCAATTCCAAGTTCCTAACCTCAGGAAGTTGAATAACCCAGGTACCATTACCATTACCTCAGTTGGCAATAACCAGACATGTTTGAATTTAACTCTCAGCTCTTTCATTTACTAAGTGTTTCACATTTGATAAGTTAGCTACCCTTTTCAAAGTCTTTGCTTTATCTTAGAAAATGGAATTAGTCCTAGTTCCTCCTCAGAGAGTCATTGCTCAGTAACCATTATCCTGTTTATACTGTTGTTCGTAATCCGTGGCACTTTTGTTTACTTTGTAAGTGTGAATTCTATGTTTGTTACTTTTTAGGATTTTGAACGTTCCAGAGCCTTCAATTTTCTGAATGAGGTAAAGAAAAGATTTCAGACTACTTATGGTTCAAGAGCACAGACAGCACTTCCATATGCCATGAATAGTGAGTTCTCAAGTGTCTTGGCTGCACAATTGGTAAGATCTTTCTCAGGATACAGTGTTTTGATTCATGTTTTCTTTTTTAAAATTTTATTTATTTTTATTATTATTATCTTTAAGTAGGTGTACAAAGAGGTTGCCATTCTACAAAACAGTATAGGAATACAAGATGTCTGACAACATTGTCACCCATTGCTCCTACATGTTTTCTTGTTACCTGAAATCACCATGAATGCAGAGGGTCCTGACCTGCAGTACACTTTTCTTACTGTTTTACTGTATAAAATAATAAAATTTTCTTACTAAAAGTAAAGGGGCCATTTTATGGTAGAAAGATAGTAATTGGTTACATTCTTTCTTAATAGTTGTCAAAGTATCTCAGAGGTAGAGAGAAGAGAACATGAAAGATTATCTAGTTAAGCTACCCATCTAATGCTTAAATCCACTGATCATGCCAATTGTCTTTTTAACATATATATAAACTTTCTATCCATTCATGAGACAAGTTTATTTTTAAGCAGTTTGGAGTAACCATTTAGGAGTCTGATCGTCTACATAAATCCCTAATTGTTAACTCAGTGACATTTTACTTACATATGTAAATATGTATGTGTACATATCCCTTTAAATTGCCACTGTAATTAAGATAGAAAGAATTTCCATTGCTCTAGATTTTCCAACATTTCTTTTTCCAGTCAGTCAGTTGCCTCCCTCCATACTCTGCTCCAGGCAACTACAATCTATTTTCTATCTCTGTTAATTAGTTTTGTCTTTTGTACGGTTTCCAATAAATGGAAAGATACAGTGTGTATCTTTTTGTGTCTTGCTTGTCTTGTTCATTGTAAAAGTTTTTATATTCACTCATTCATGTTATATAAATCAGTAGTTTGTTTAGTTCTTTTTGGGGGGGGTCCAGTCGTGGGACCTGAACTCTGGGCCTGGGCACTGTCCCTCAGCTCTTCAGCTCAAGGCGAGCGCTATACCACTTGAGCCACAGTGCCACTTCCGGCTTTTTTCTTTTTGTTTATGTGGTGCTGAGGAATCGAACCCAGGGCCTCAGGCATGCAAGGCAAGCACTCTACCACTGAGCCACCTTTTTAATAAGTAGTATTGTATGCATATACCATAAGTCATTTATCCATTTACCTGTTTGTAGATATTTTCATTGCTTTCAGTTTTCAACCTGTTTCTAGGTATTTGGATTGTTTTCAGTTTTCAACTCTCATGAATAACTATGATTCTGTACATATAAATGTTTGTGTGTGTACATATACATATATATATATATATATATATATATATATCTTTTTGGAAAATACCTAGGAATGGAGTTATTGGTTCATATGGTAAGTATTTGTAATATCTTAAAATTTGTCACACATTTTCCCCAAGTTATTACATAATTTTACATTTTTACCACCAAGCCCAGTGTTTCTGCATCATTGCCAACACTTGTGTCTGTCTTTAATTTTAGGTGTTTTGATGGGTGTGCAATTGTATCTCATGTGTTTTTAGTTAACATTTTTGTGATAACTAATGATGCTGAGCATCTTTTAAATGCTTACAAAGACCTAACCTAGAACTATGATAGTATTGCGAATGTAGAAAAAAGGACATTTTTAATTAGATATTTTTTACTTGTATATAAGTGTTCTTTTTAATATTTTTTAAAGTATATTTGCATGCATATACTTTAAAAAGTATATGTGGGCTTCATTCCTCTGGAAATGAAGTCCTTTTAAACTCCTATTATTTATACCCTGCTTATCAACCCTTATTATTTAAGCGGTAGTTTGTTTCATACTCTTTACCAGGAGATGTTTATATATTTGATGCTATGTAAAACACTATCATCAAAAGTATACTACTGCACAGTGAATAAATAGACAACTATCAGAAAACCTTTCAAATTAGCCAGTTTCTCATTCGCTCTAGAATTATGTTTGACCCTTTGAACAAATCTGTGCTGGTTTCCTCATCTATAAGCAGAAATACGGAAGGCATTTTCATCAGAGTTTTGAGGTAAATTGAGTAGTATCCCATTTGAAGCATTCAGTATAGTGAAGTGACTGGGACATTGTGTATTAAACACTCAATTGTTGTTATCTATGGATAATAACTTCTCCATGTATGTTGTCATTGGTGACCTAGATTCTAGATCCTGTGAAAAGCTAATGAAAATAGGTATCATGCTTTGATGCCAACAGATAGAAGAACAAATATAAGAAAGAGAGCATGCCTCCGCCTCATTATATCCAAAAAGTAGGGAACAAATTTTCATGCATTTTGTCTCTGTCCTTCCTGCCCCAAATACAGACTTCTTTGTATTCCTTTCTTCATCATCTAACCACAGATTATATACCTTTCACTCTTCTCCCCCAAGAATCTCAGCTGTATATTTGACATATTGTAGTATCTTTCACTTAAATTTACTCAAAAATAAGATACTTTATACTTTAATACTTAGATTTTTATATGGAAGCATTTTTTGTGCCGACAGTATTTCCCCATAGGTCTGATGACCATCTTTTCAGCAAAGTGACATGTATCTTTTATATAATAAAATAGTGATATCATTTTTTCTGATTTATATAAGTTATAATTTCTCTTATTTTTGTTTTCTGTTGTAAATAATGTCTAGGTATCTTTTTTTGTAGAAGCATCACTCTGAGAATAAGGGAGTAGACAGAGTGATGGAGACTCAAGCTCAAGTGGATGAACTGAAAGGAATCATGGTCAGAAACATAGGTATGTTTCACTGGCATTTCATTCATATAGACATTAACAATGATGACTATTTTATAGTCAAGTTATAATAGAGATGCAGACACAATTACTTATTCTCACTATTAGAAGCTAATATCAGTTGAGATATTGATGTAACTTAGCTGTGCTGTTGTCTGCTTCTTATTACTTTCAGCTATTCTGTAAGATTGTTTAATTAAGGGCCGGGAAGGTGGCTCAGGGATAGAGTGCTTGCCTTGCATGCATGAGGCCCTGGGTTTGATTCCTTAGTACCACATAAGCAGAAAAGCCAGAAGTGGTGCTATGGCTTAACTGGTGGAGCGCTAGCCTTGAGCTGAAGAGCTGTGGGACAGTTCCCAGGTCCAGAGTTCAGGCCCCACAACCGGAAAAAAAAAAGTTAATATGACAATTTGGTTTGGAGATATCCAGATGGCTGAAAATATAGATTCTTAAACTATACTGGAGTTTCCTAAAATATTGTTTGGAAAGGGCTGGGAAGGTGGCTCAGTGGTAGAGTGCTTGCCTTGCATGCATGAGGCCCTGGGTTCCATTCCTCAGTACCACATAAGCAAAAAGAAAAAAAGCCGGAAGTGGCGCTGTGGCTCAAGTGGTAGAGTGCTAGCCTTGAGCTGAAGAGCTGAGGGACAGCGCCCAGGCCCAGAGTTCAGGCCCCACGAATGGACCCAAGAAAAAAAAAGAGGAAAAAAAAAAGAAAAAAAATATTGTTTGGAAAAACAATATTTGGCTATTGACCAAAAGAAAGAATTAGGTTTAAAAAAAAAACAACTTGTATTTTTCAGAGAAATAAACTATGTTATAATTTCCATCTAATGGCTTGTGCTGATTTTGTTAGGAATACTTGGCACATTAAAATAAGCCAGAGAGCCAGGCACTGGTGGTTCATGTCTATCATCCTAGCTTCCCAGGAGGCTGAGATCTGAGGATACGGTTCAAAACCAGCCTGGACAGGAAAGTCCATGAGACTCTTATCTTCAATTAACCATCAGAAAACTGGAAATGGTGCTGTGGCTCAAAGTGGTAGAACACTAGCCTTCAATACAAAATCTCAGGGACAGTATGCTGGCCCTAAATTCAGGCCCCACAACCACCACTACCACCACCACCAACAACAACAAAACAAATACATGAATCTTATTTTTAATTGATTTGTTCAGTAGAGTTTAAATTTAGGATGATATTGGTGTATAGTTTCAAGGCTCAGTTTCAAAGTATATTATTCTCAAAGCTCAGGTTCTCATAGTGTGGTCCTTGGACTAGTAGAATCAGCATCATCTAACAGTTTGTTAAAAAATACTCTTTGGAGCTTGATGCTGATGGCTTATGCCTGTAGTACTAGCTACTCAAGAAGCTGAGATCTGAAGGTCATGGTTGGAAGCCAGCCTGGGCAGGAAAGCCTGTGAGACTCTTTATTTCCAATTAACTGCCCCAAAACCTGGAAGTGGAACTGTGGCTCAAATGGTAGTGTGCTGGCCTTGTACAAAATAAAAAGCTCAGGGACAGTGCCCAGACTTTGAGTTGAAGCCTCAGGAGCCACACAAAAAAATGCATATTTGGGAGCCTAATCCATACCTGCTGAATCAGACTTTCTGGGAGTAGGCCCCAGTGATGTGTTTTCACAAGTTGTATAAGATATATAATTATATATAAATATCATAAATACCAATTTATGATCTTGGATTTGCAAGTTGAATTACTTTTACATTTATTCTTAGAACAATTACAGATTATAAAAAGACATTTAAAAATTTCTGCTCCTGATCTCATTGTTGCAAAGATTTACTTTTATTCTTCTATTTAAATTTTTATCTTCATGTACACATACATACTTATAGTCATGTTTATATTGTTCTGTAGTGGCAATATAATAAAGTGATTAAGGTTTATAGTCATATATATGTCTGAATTCAAGTCTCAGTTTTACTTTTCATATATATTAGTCTTTTAGAAGTCATCTATCCTCTCTGAACTTTAAAGTCTGATCTGTATAATCTCTGATCTGTAAAATCAGTAAACTAATATTACCAACAGATAACAGGATAAAAGTGGTAATGTATGTAAAGACTTGGTACACTGCCTGGAATTTAGTAAGGATTGAATTTGGTCATACAGTATTTCATTGAGTTAATGTATCACTATGTCCTTTTCTTTGGACACCTAAGTTCTATAGGGTCATTTTACTCAAAGTACAGTTTTGTTACTAAATAAGGACCTAGCTGAAGAATGTAAATTAGTGCTGGACTTCCTTCATTGAGAATCTCTTGCTCTGGCAGTAATGTCAGTTAGACTGAGTAGTGTGCTTAGAGACTTAGTTAAACCAGTAGCAAACCACTTAAGCTGTACTGATTTAGAGATTTGTGTTACACTAACAGTACTGTTACTATTTTTGTGCCTATTATGTTTACCTTATTTTTAGATTAATTCCCATGAATATAATTAATAACCAAAGTGCAGAAACATTTTGTTAATCTTTGTATGCATATCTCTTGCCTATTTAAAGTGATTTGTTTATTGATAGACTGTGCTGGTTCTGTGGCTTTAACTCAAGGCCTGGGCACTGTCCTTGAGCTTTTTTGCTCAAGACTTACTCTAACACCTGAGCTATAGTTTCCCTTCCAGCTTTTCTGGTGCTTGACTGAAGGTAAGAGTCTCACAGACTTTCCAGCCTGGGTTGTCTTTAAGCTGTGATTTTCTGATCTTAGCCTCCTGAGTAGCTAGGATTATAGATGTGAGCTACCAACACCCGGTGTAAAGTGATTTACTTTAGTTTTAAATATGTCTAGATGAAGAGTAGAGGGCCCATTGAAAAAACTACTAATATTTTTGTCTTACCAAATTTTACGTGAAAGTGGAAGCAACCAATGCTATACTATTGTGCATATGTAAAGTTCCCAACAAATCAAACTTTTCATTACACTGATAGAAACTCTGTACATTTTTTAGTCACTCCTCATATTCTCTCAATCTCTAGATTTAAGCAACAATCAATCTCTTTTTTGTCTTTACTAATTCTTTTACAAAATTTTGGGCATTTTGCAGAAGTGGAATCATATAATATGAGACCCTTTGTGTATTAACTCCTTTCTCTTAGCATAATGATATTGAGGTTAATTCATGTGGCACCTTGTATAAGTACTTTATTCCTTTTCATAACTGAATGTGTCAGTACATTGTCACTTTCTTTTTATTTTTATTTTTTTGATAGTACTAGTGTTTTAAACTCAGGGCTTTGTGCTTGCTAGGCAAATGCGCTATCAGCTGAATTACATCCCAGCCCTTTGACTTTAGTTATTTTTCAGGTAAGGTCTCTCTTTTTCCCAGGGCCAGCCTTAGACTGTGATCGCCTTCATTATACTTCCCTCATAGTTGGGATTGCCAGGAGTGCATGTTGAAATGAATTTCCACTCTTTTTTTCCTGGCTGCCTTTGAATTGCCATCTTCCCAATCTTTGCCTCCTAAGTATTTGGGATTTCAGATTTAAGCTCCCCTGCCCAGACAGTATTTTATTTCTCCATTTATATCCCTCATTTTTCTAGCTCCTGTTTTGATATACCTATTATTCATATGTTGGCACATTTGTGATGTCCCACAGTTCTGTGAAGTTGTTATTTTTATTCATTCTTTTGATATCTCATTCAGCCTAAATATCTTCAGGCTGATACTGAGAATTGACCTATCTGTTTGCTGATATTTTGTCTTTCATCTCTTCTAATCTACTTCTGATTTTGTCTAGCTAATTTTTTATTTCGATTATTGTGCTCTATTTCCATTTGGTTTATTGTGCTCTTTCTGATACATTATGCTTTCCTTTCCTTTTCATTGTGCCAGTTGTGGGCCTTGAACTTAGGGTCTGGGAACTGTCCTTTAGCTTTTTCCCCCAAAGCTGGTGCTGTACCACTTTAGCTACACTTCCACTTCTGACTTTTTAGTAGTTAATTGGAGATAAGAGACTCATGGACTCCCCCCCCCCCCCCCCGACTGGCTTCTAATCTCAATCCTCAGATCCCAGCCTCCTGAGTATCTATGATTACAGGTGTGAGACATCCGGGTCTGGCAACTTTGAAGTTTTTGCTGAATTCAATAGCTGGATTACCTCAAGTCATTTTGCTTTTGTTTTTATGAAAGTTTTAGCCTGAATTTACTTAAGTACATCACAGTTAAAAATGTAGAGAGGAATAGAAAAAGAGAAACATTTCCTGTTCTTCTTGCTGGAAATGGAAATTAAAGATTCAAAATGGCAGTTTTTACCTGTAGTTTTTGTGCTTTTTGAGCTGAGTTGAATGCAGATAATGTCACCTAGCAACTATGAATCTTGACAGTGGTTTGGGGAGGGTGAGGTGGGTGAATCCTACCCCAAACCCAGGTAACCTTCAAGACTTCCTTTTGCAAGACATATCTTTTATTCTTTCTGTCTTTGTCCATTCATGAAGAATTTCCAGATTTTTTTTATCATTCAGATAATAAAACAAGGGGCTGGGAAAGTGGCTCAGTGGTAGAGCGCTTGCCTTGCATGCATGAGGCCCTGGGTTCAATTCCTGAGCACCACATAAGCAAAAAGAAAAAGCTGGAAGTAGAGCTGTGGCTCAAGTGGTAGAGCGCTAGCCTTGAGCTGAAGAGTTGAGGGACAGCGCCCAGGCCCAGAGTTCAGGCCCCACAACCGGACCCAAAAATAAATAAATAAAATAAAACAAGTTTAGATAGCCTCTCCTATATTCCAGAAGAGAAGACCTGTTTTAGGTAGCTCCTCTCATATCTTCTAGTCTTTTAACTAAACACTAAAATGAAGGTGTGATTGGACCAGAGCTTGTCTACTTTTTTTGTTTACTTCCTGGTTTTAACTTGTAAGTCTGGCCCTTTGAATTTTTGTTGAAAATAATATAATTTGCTTACCTTCTTATTTATCTGTCTTACTTCATTTTTCTTAAATATCAAAGCCATTTTCTATTCTCTGTTCTTTTTCCTATATATGTTTCAGACTCTCCTGTTTATTTTCTTATCTCATAAAGCTGTTGAAAGTGGACATTTTAGATAATGTATTATAGTCATTCCGAATACTGATCTCCTTTAAGATTTGTTGTTTGTTTATTTATTGACTAGGCTGGAGTTTTTCAGTGGAATATATTCTTTACATAGTATGCATACTCTAATGGTCACTCCTCAGAGAGAAAATCCTTGGGCCTGTCAACCAGAATAATATGACTCTCCTCAGATCTCTCTTAATTTCCCTGTTAAACATCTGGCTGCTCTGCTACTCTTCCTTACTTACCTGCTAATTTCTACTAATTGTAATATAATCTAATTAGATTTTGGTTCTGTTGTAGGGGGACTCTTACAGGCGTGCTCTGAACTCTGAAAGCAGAATTGTTTTTAAAGGAAAACATTTTTTAAAAATTATTTTTAAGTAGTTTGTACAAAGGGGTTCCAGTTCAGCATGTCAGTTTTTGAGTCAGTGTCACGCTTCTGTTGTTCTCCCCCATCTCTCCCAACCCCACTCATCCCCTCAAGTTACCTGGATCTGTTTTCTCATACTTACATTGAATATTATGACTGCAATTTTCCACTCTCCAGAAGGGCTGTTAGCTTTCTTGTTTCCTCTTTTTCTGTTTCTACTTTCAAATGGCCTAAATTTTAGTTTGTTTTGCCCATGAAACTACCAGTTTCATCTTACTTACCTTCCTCTAAAATATCCATTGTTTTAGATAGCCTCCTTAGGCTTCAACTACCTCATCTTCTGTTTCAAATAGTCTGTCCCCTGAAGGGAAGCTGTGTGTTCTTAAGGCTTGTCTCTTCCCCTTGTATACTCTCTCCTTTGGAATGAGTATAACCCTTAACTGGGACCCTGCAGGGGGAAAATGTTTTCCCAGGTTGTACTTGTCATGAGCTTCTCGTGCCATTATTCTAGAAGTGTCTAGCTTTCACTCATTTTTTTGTTCCTTTTTTTCACCACTCTCAGATCATACTCTCAATTAAATTTTCACACTACCACTCTTAAGTCAAGTGTAGTCTGCTGTCTGTTTTCCTATATGAAGTTTAATCAGAATGCAGCAATGATAATTCATTTACATAATGCCTAAATGTGACCAAGGAGAGTAATTGCAATGTAGGTCTACAAGGCCTAAACAGAACTGCCAACCTTTATTTTTCTTGATAAATTGATAAAAATATTTTTTAACATAAATCATTTATTTTTGTTTATGGTTCTGAAGGTACCAGTCCAAGATCAAGTAGTACCCTAAGGAGTATAGCACATCATGTCAAGAGAATATGATAGAACAAAAATTGAGCCCTGTACCAGTGGCTCAAGCCTGTAATCCTAGCTACTCAGGAGGCTGAGATCTGAGAATTGCGGTTCAAAGCCAGCCTGGGCAGCAAAGTGCGTGAGACTCTTTATCTCCAATAAACCACTAGAAAGCTGGAAGTGGTGCTGTGGCTCAAGCGGTAGAACACTCGCCTTGAGCTGAAGAGTGCAGGGACAGCGCCTAAGCCCAGAGTTCAAGCCCCATGACTAACCAAAAAAAAAAATTGAGATCTGTTGTTATTTAAACATATAAGTACTTTTGTGATACCTATGAGGTGACAAGAACACCAACTATGATTGAAATTAGATCTTGATTGAAAGAAAATGATGTATTTGTAATAGAAAATATGATTTTTTTATTTCTGAAATTTTCAGATCTGGTTGCTCAGCGGGGAGAAAGATTGGAATTATTGATAGACAAAACAGAAAATCTTGTGGATTCAGTAAGTGTATAATATAACAATTTTTCAGGATGCAAAGTAGATACAGATGATGGTTGAAAGTAGAAAAAGCCCTGAAATTTAATACTGTTTATTTTTTGTTTCCTTTCTTATGTCTATTATATCTTTATTATATGTTATAATATTGTGTTAAAGAAGGAAACAGTGAGACATAGAAAAATAGCCACAGTTAATAGCCATTAAGGAATCTGGTTTAGAAAGCATACTCAGTACACAAAAACAATTTCCTAAACCTTTGAATTAATGTACAATTTTTAGATTGATCATCACCTCAACTGTATGTACCAACCAGTCTTTTTGCTACTAAAAAAAGTCTCACAGTATGAAACAAATGTATAGGTCAGTTGTGATCCAAGATGAATCTTGAAAACTGAACAGTTCACTTTCTTGTTTATAGTAATACTTTGGTCTTTTCCTTCTATCAAACCACATCATAGGTTAGGAAAGCCCTTAGTAAGCCTTAAAGGAAACTGTAATTTTGTGAGTTAGGTATGCTGCAGTTACATGTATCATTTATTGTTCCATATGATTAGGTAAATAAAAATTTGAGAGAAAGATGATAGATACAGAAAGAATGCAGAAATCAGTTACAATTGGAATCTACACTATTACACATTTAAATGCTGGAGTACAAAGAAGGCAAATAAGTATCTAATCCTAATTTATATGTTACTTCCAGTCTTTCGGCTATTCAGTACTAGTGTAACTTGTACTTTCCAAATAAAACTTTATTTTGTTGACACTATGATAATGCATGTTTGTTACAACTGGCAACAAGATTTATAGTGGTTAGAAGCACAAACTCTAGAATCAGGTTGCCTGAATTTGTTGCTAGTATTTAGGAACAAAATTTATTTTTATATATTGGCTTTGTTTGAATCCTGCATGTTTGGGAAATTCAATTGTTGTAGCTTTTCAGTAGATTCTAAGATTGAATATAAGCAGCAGCAGTGGACATCTTACCTGTTGACTATCTGATGGGGAAAAATTCAGTATTGTACCATCATTTTTGTGTGTGCTGGTCCTGTGGCTTGATCTCAGGATCTAGGCACTGCCCTTGAGTTTTTTTGTGCAAGACTAGAGCTCTGCCAGTTGAGCCACAGCTCTACTTTTTTTTTTTTTGTGGCTAATTGGAGAGAAGAATATCACAGACTCCTGCCTGGGCTGGCTTTAAACACAATCCTCAGATTTCAGCTTCCAGTAGCTAGGATTACAGGTGTGACCCACTGATGCCTGGCTCAGCTGTAGATATTTTGTCAGGTCAAAGAGTTCCTTTCAGTTCTATAATTGAGAGTTGTATTGGTGAATTTTGTCAAAAGTTTTTGTCTATGAAGATATTTATATATTTTTTCTCCTTTCTTCAGTTATTATGGTAACTTACATTCATATTTTTTAATGTTAAACCAAACTTGCATTTTCTTCAAGGTCATGCCATAATATCCTGTTTATATAACACTTTATTAAATTTCCTAATTTCTGTCTAGGAATTTTTCATCTATGTTCTTTTTTATGTAAATAATACTTTATTTTTAGAAAAGTTTTAGATTCATGGAAAAACTAAAGAGATGGTAAAGAATTTCAAATATATCCCTTCCTTCCCCCTCCATACTTGGTTTCTCTGTTATGAACTCATACATTAATAAGGTATATTTGTTACAGTGAATGAACTGGGCAGAATTAGCTAATGAGCTTGCAGCCAAATAGTTTAGTTTCTTACTGAAAATGTAAAGAGGAAAATGCTTTTCACTAGAAGAATCACTTCTGGTACTCAACACCATGTTCATTGGGATGGTTAAAAAAAGGAAAGGAAGTGAAGCATATTTAGTGGGCTTTCACAGCTTATGATAGATCTGGTAGAACCTTGCTATTTGGAACTGGCAATTATGAGTGGCTACTTGTAAAGAGAGGTAAGGGGCATTGAGACTTCAGCAGAATTAATGAAAGCAAAATTTTTGCAACGTGTTACTGCAGATCATTCATGCAATCAGTGCCAAGAGCTGAACAATTTATGATTGCTTTCTAGTCTGTTACCTTCAAAACCACCAGCAGAAATCTTGCTCGAGCCATGTGTATGAAGAATATCAAACTCACTATCATCATCATCATCATATCAATTGTAAGTTTTTATCCTTTTATGTCATGGTCTTTATGCTCCTGAGCTTAGCTTCTTCTTTGTTAGTGTGTGAATTTAGTTTGATTTATGAAGCTGTATTAAGTTTGAATTATACTTATTGGTTACTATATATGTGCAGAGCACTGTTCTAATGCAGTGTCAGTCTTTGCTAAAAGATTTCACCTAACATATTTCAGCTTGTGAGATTTTCATATTACAGCTGTGACAAATTGTCTTTATATAAAGATAGTAAGCTTTATATTTGTAACCTAATATATACCCTAACACATGCCCGATCATAACCAAAACCATAACCTTAACCAATGTTCTTTTTTTTTTTTTTTGTCGGTCATGGGGCTTGAACTCTGGGCCTGAGTGCTGTCCCTCAGCTCTTCAGCTAGTGAACCACATTGCCACTTCCAGTTTCCTGGTGGTTTATTGGAGATAAGAGTGTCATGGACTTTCCTGCCTGGGCTGGCTTTGAACCGCAATCCTCAGATCTCAGTCACCTGAGTAGCTAGGATCACAGGCGTGAGCCACCGGCACCTGGCTCTAACACATGTTCTAACCCTAACACATATCCTAATATGTACCGTAAACATAACATGTACCCTCATATGTACCCTAACCACTAATACCTTCTCTAAACCATACAAGATAACCTTACTAACACATTCCCTAAACCATACAAGATAATCTTACGTGCACCCGAACATGTACCCCAAATGTATAACCTAACACATATGCTAACACTTGCCCTAGCCCTAACACATAGCTTAACCCTAATATGTATGCTTACATGTTCCCTGACATACCCATCATACAGCCTAACTCTGGCCATGCTCATATTCTAACATGTACCCTAATTTTAACCCATGCCCTAACATGTACCCTAACTCTAACAATAACCTTATCATGTACTTTCAAGTATACTCTAACCCTAAAATACACTTTAAACATTAACATATATCCTAACAAGTACCCTAACACATACTCTAAACCACCCTTACATCCACCCTAACATGTACCCTAACCCTAGCAGTTACCTTAACCCTAACATACCCTAACACATACCCTAACCACTAATATATACAGTATCAAGTACTCTAACACATATTCTAAACCATATAGGTACCCTTATATGTACCCAACATGTACCCCAAACCCTAACACTTACCCTAACCCCAATTCATACCTTAAACTCAAATCTTAACATTTCCCTAACATTTACCCCATCATACACCCTAACTCTAATCCTATGCCTTACCCTAAATTGTCTGCTAAGCTAAATCCATACATCATTGTGTACCTAACACTTTCTCCAATACTAACTCACTCCCAAACCTAACACTTACATAACCCCTTTCCTAACAAGTCCCCTAACTTGTGGAATATGTGTATGTAAATATGTGTATGTGTAATACTATGTAGGTAACACAGTTTTTTGATAAAAGTGTCATAATTTAAATTTCAGTACTAAATCAGGTGCCAGAAGCACATGCCTGCAATCTTAGCTACCCAGGAGGCTGAAATCAGAGGATTGCTATTTGAAGCCAGCCCTGTCAGAAAAATCTGAGCGTCTCCATATCAAATTAACCAGTAGTACCAGTAGTACCAGCTGTGAGCAAGCAAGCTGAGCTAGAGTGTGAGGCCTTGAGTTCAAGGCATGGTACTATTAGCACAAAAATTAATAAAATAAAGTTGTAGTACTGCCTTAAAAATTTAACATAGCTATAATAGGATCAGTAGTTTGAAAATGTTCCATCATCAGCTTTTCCTTGCTTTGGTAATCTTAACTCTTGAGTCATTATCTGCTGGTTTTATAATTGTTATGTAGAGATAGTCTCTCTCCATGGTTTTCCTTATGTTTTTATCTTGATTGTTGAAAAATGAAATTCAAGCCTAAAATCTTAAAAATACAGTTTATAATAAAACAGTACTTCAAGGAAATTGTAGTTGTTTGGGGTTTTTTTGGTTGGTCATGGTGCTTAAACTCAGGGCCTAAACTGCTGTTCCTGAGCTTTTTCACTCAAGGCTAACGCTCTTCTACTACATTGAGCCACAGCACCATTTTCAATTGTCTGGTGGTTAATTGGAGATAGAGTCTCATGGATGTTTCTGCCTAGGCTGGCTTTGAACTGTGACCCTCAGATCTTAGCATACTGAGTAGATAGGATTACAGGCATGAGGCATCCAGCTATTTGGGATTTTTATCACATATTAATGTTGCATCAATGGGGTCGCTCTTACAGCCTTGGTTCTGCCTGGTTACCTACTGCTTTCTGAGAGAAAAATAGTGGAACTTAAGTGGATGAGAGATTAGGAAAGATAATTTCAATGCTATTTCTGTCTTTGAAAATATTGTTTTGTTGCATAGTCCACAACTTCTACTGTAATAAAATCAAGTGTTCTCCCTCCCTCCCTCCCTTCCTTCTTCCCTTCCTCCCTCCCTTCCTCCCTCCCTTCCTCCCTTCCTCCCTCCCTCCTTCCCTTCCTTCCTTCCTTCCTTCCTTCCTTCCTTCCTTCCTTCCTTCCTTCCTTCTTTCTTTTCTTCCTTTCTTGTCCCAGTCCTGGGGCTTTTTGTGTTGAAAGCTAGCATTCTACCACTTGAGCCACATCTCCATTTCTGGCTTTTTGGTGGTTAATTAAAGAGTCTCACAGACTTTCCTGTCTGTGCTGGCTTTGAACCACAATTCTCAGATATTAGCTTCCTGAGTAGCTAGGATTACCACCAGTGCCCAGCTTAGCAGTGTTCTTTAATAGGTTGCACTACCCTTTATATATTATTTTGAAGTATATGATAGATTCAAGAGAATAAAATTGCCTACCTCCTTTTTTCCAGGTTTTCATCTATATCATTGTGTCACCTCTCTGTGGTGGATTTACATGGCCAAACTGTGTGAAGAAATAAAGGAGCTGTTAACCAAGGATAAGAGGGACAAAAGAGTTAAAAGTAATTCATGTAACTCAGGCTTTGCAGTACTTACAAAAAGTGTCTGCCAATTGCTTCAACCCTCTTTTCACTTAAAAAATATATATTTGTCCTAACAGTTTATTCCAGTGCACTTCAGATTGAATCATTGATCACAGCAGTAGCTTTAGAAAGGCTTTTGTTTGTTAACTAGTGTCATCTACTTCTATAATTAATCTTAGTGTTAATTGCACAAAGTTGTTGCCAAGGTAAAAGCCACCACTCATACAACTTGTCTAATAAAATTATGATTTTTTATGCACACAGAAGTATTTGGGAGATAACATTACTAGCAACTTATCTTCATATCTTTTGTTATGGAAGAGTTTCAGGTGCTTCAAAACAATACAAATGGAGAATTGTTCTTATTTTGGGAATTGTACTTAGTTGTTGGTGCTGCTTATTTACAGTAGGAGCCCAGAAAGGTAAAGTACTAAACATTATTTGAATTATATGTGGATCATTTTCCTAGCCTGTTAGAAACACAGAGATTATACTTTTCCTCCTAGCATTTACTTTTGGGAATAAAGTTAGTGAAAGAACAGTAGATAGTTTGATATCTTCTGTTTCTTCATTGTAGTTGATTTGAGGAGATTTCTATTTAAATATTTCTAAAAGTTGTGGAGTTTTTTCATATTCCTTTTTTTCTGTGTATATTTGGGGCATATGTGTTGTTAGTAGAATGGGTAATGGAGGGTTGGGGAGGCAAATGATTGACTTGCCAAAGAAGAACAGAACACAGTGAATGTACTAGCATTTTTGCTGTACAAGAGAGGTAAGATTGAAAGGTGGTATATTTTCTATTCTGAGAAAAGCCCAAAATCAATACTGCTAAACATCAAGTCCAGATTTGGATTTGACTCCTGTTGAGTAATAGAGTATCCTTTATGATTTAATAAATTCTTTTTTTCTGCCTAATTTTGAGGAATTCTTTTTGAAACCCAAAAGAGAATAGTCAGTGTGATATACAGAAACAAGACAAAGTAGTTTATCATATATTTTACTACAGTATAAGTAAATTGTACTATAATAATACCATTTCATCTACTTTAATATCTGTTAGCTAGTATTTGATGTGTATCTGAAAAGAAGACACTGCTGCCCTAGATCTAATTGCATCTATTTATTAAGTTTCCATTAAACAAGTTATATTACATTTTACCCTTTACACAGTGAAAGAACAAATTAGTCTGTAGAAACTAGCCACCTGTTTAGCCTAGTTATGTGCCTTCAATTTGTATGTATGTCCTATAATTAGACTCATAGTACCTGTTCTTCCTTCTAAAACACTGAATTCATGCTACCTGATTCATTTATGTGACATATACCATAGACCCACAGGAACTTATTCATAACACAAATGTTTTTCTAGTCTTCTTTATCAATACCAATCATTTGGCATTCCTAAATGATAATTTCCAAATATTTTTTTATTTTTTTATTGTGAAAATACTGTACAGAGAGGTTACAATTACATGAGCAAGATAATGAGTACATTTCTTATCAAGCATTGTAGCCTCCTTTGTTTCCCCTTCCCATCCCTTCCCATCCTTCCCCCCCAAATATTTTTAATCCAAAGAAAAATACTTAAAGCTTACTTTCCTTTCTTATGACCACCTAAGTAAAACTGAGTGTGCATGTTTTAGTGATTAGTTATGCAAGTGTTCCTTGGTCTATTTATGTATCAGACTGCTTTTTAAAGCACGTGTTTTAGTGTAAATAATGAACTAACTGAAGACATTAATAAAATTTAAGAGTAATTGAGTTCTTTGCTTTAGAAATTTTTACTGGAGTCTGATCTCATTTGTTGACATTTAACCATACGGTATAGAACAAAGGGTTGTTATTTTTTGCTGAAGATATACAAAGACATGTCATCTTTTTTTTTTTTTTTCGGTCGTGGAGCCTGAACTCTGGGCCTGGGCACTGTCCCTCAGCTCTTCAGCTCAAGGCGAGCACTTTACCACTTGAGCCACAGCACCACTTCCAGTTTTCTAGTGGTTTACTGGAAATAAGAGTCTCGTAGACTTTCCTGCCCAGGCTGGCTTTGAACTGTGATCCTCAGATCTCAGCCTCCTGAGTAGCTATGATTACAGACGTGAGCCACTGGAGCCTGGCAAGAAGTGTTTTCTTAATCCTTTAGTAAAGATCTATGGTATAGTGTCAGCTTGTTCAAAACCAAAAGATGCAACAAAAAGCATGAAAAAGTGCATAAGTCATGATGAAACCAGAAAAAGATCCAAGAATGATCATATAGCCTTTATAGCTCATCTTTAAACCATGAGTTATGAAGGCATAAAACAGGGGGAAAAAACCTCCAAAGACTGGGATTCCATGTAATACTTTAAAAAATAAATGTATCTAAGTTGAATGGTTTGGTGGGGAAGGGACACTGAGGGGCATAGCTCAATGTTAGAGCACTTGCCTAGTGTGTACAAGGCTTTGGGTTCAATCTCCACTACCACCAAAAATAAATTAATTACAATAAAAATAAAATTTATTAGTTCTGAAAGAGATTGCTCAAAGGAAGATGCAAGGTGGAAGACAGCATTTCACTATAGCAAACAGGGTTGGCTAAACAGAAAAAAAAGAAAAATGGGTAAAGATCAATTTAAAACAAAAAAAGCTAGACCACATCCCCAAAATAATAATAAAAAAACCTTTGTCACCTGTGAACCTAGGTAGCTGAATATTTTTTTACAGGTTAGGGTAACTTGAAAACAGCCCATTTGAGCTCCTCTCTCTATGCCATCCAGATTGTATCTGAAGTATATAATTTCTAACCACACAGAGGTAAACGTGATTATTTGGTGGTTGTTTCTTTTCGAATCTTCCCTAGCACCATTGAGTCAAACAGCAATAATAGCAGTCCTAGATACTACTGAATGGTTCTACCTTAGCAACAGGTTTATTTCTCACAACTGAATTTTCTGAAGAATATAAGGTGGAAGTGATGGTGATGGTTGTGGCTAACTTGTGTCTGTTTAAATTTAACGAGAAAACAGCCAGACAAGTATTATGGAAACAAGGAGTTTAACATTGGATTTAAGCTTACACAAATGTGTGACAAATAGGAAGTGAAGTTTCAAGAGAAGACACCAACATATCAGAGAAATAGTCCTAAGCACTTCCATATAAAGTATTAGCACTGGTGAGCAGGTTGGAGCTCTGAATAATTATCCCTGTGTGTCTACTTGCCAAACGGGGTCTGTGAAGAGGAACATGTAGAAAGGTTTCAGGAAACCACAGCTTCAGTAGACCTGGTGCCAAAACCTGGTGGTAGGTTTTTAGTCCAAACTTGGCTGTAGTGCCAACAATCCAATTAATGATTTGAATGTGTAGTTGGAGGCATGGTTTAAGTAGCAGAGTACTTGCCTAGAAAGTGCAAGACCCTGATTTCTAACTCCAATACCAAAAGAATGAGTTGAATATCAAATGGAGGAGATTGAGGGAAAGCTGAGGCATACCTAAACATTTTTTTTGATTGCTCTGACTTCCAGAGTACTGACATTTGCTTCTGTTCTGCTAAGTCTCAACAAGTTCATCTTTTTTGCTCAGGCAAATTATTTAGAGGAATACTATGAAATCCTTGGTTTCTAGGAATAACAATGGTGCCAGTCCAGTCGAATTCAGTATTTTTAGGATTTGCTCAGTAGTTTATATATTTTTTATTGTAAAAATACTGTGTAGAGTTACATGAGTAAGGTAATGAGTACATTTCCTATCGAGCATTTACCCCTCCTTTCTTTTTGTCCCTACCATCCCTCCCCTCCCCACTTCCCCAAAGCTCAATAGTTTTATCAAGAGAATTATGAGAATTTAAGTCATTCTCATCTGAGTACACTGTAAAAAGTTAGCGTTTGTGCTGTTTATTAATCCAAAACAATCAAATACAGAATGTACCAAATTTTATCTTTTCCAAGCAGAAAGAAAATGATAACATATTCTATATAAGCAAATCAATGTACACAGATTAACCCTAATTTACTTTTTTTTTTCTGTTACTGGGACTTGAGCACAGAATCTGAGCACAGCCCCTGAGCTTCTTTTGTTCAAGGCTAGGTCTCTACCACTTGAGCCATGGCTCCACTTCCAGCTTTTTTGGCAATTTATTGGAGATAAAGGTCTCATGGACTTTCTTTCCCAGGCTGGCTTTGAACCATGACCCTTAGATCACAGCCTCCTGAATAGCTAGGATTACAGGTGTAATTACAGGGTGGTATGCTTGCACATTTCTATGGGGTGGAGCCAGAGAGCTCACTTCCCCACAATTCACAGTGGGTGATCAGGTGCTGTGCCTGCACATCTCCATGGAGTGGCATCAAAGAGCTCACTTCCCACAATGCCCTGCTGACAGAATGGTGGTATGCCTGTACATCTCCACAGGGTGTTGACAGAGAGGTCATTTCCCACAATGCTGTGTTGTTGGTCTGGTGCTAGTGTTGCACATCACCACGAGGTGGCACAAGAGAACTCACTTCTGAGTATGCCCTGATAATAGCACATGGCTATGCCTGCACATCTCCACGGGGTGGCGCCAGAGACCTCACTTCCCACAATGCCTAGCAGGCGGCTGGTTGCTATGCCTGCACATCTCCATGGGGTGGCACCAGAAAGCATATTTCCCACAATGCCCAGCTGTGGCCAGGTGTTATACCCACACATATCCATGGGGTGGCGCCATAAAGCTCATTTCCCACCATGCCCTACTGAGTGCCTAGTGCTATGCCCACACATCTCCACGGGGTCAGAGAGCTCATTTCCTACAATTCCCAGTTGATGGCCTAGTACTATGTCCGTACATGTATACAGGGTGGCAGAAGAAAACTCATTTTCCCTAATGCCCAGCTGGTAGGCGGGTATTTGCCCACGTATATCCATGGGGTAATGCCCTGCTTATCGACCCGTGCTAGCCCGCACATCTCCACTGCATGGCTCCATAGAGTTCGCATCCCATAATACCCAGCGGGCAACTATGTGCTGTGCCCAAACATCTCCACAGGGTGGCGACATTGAAGTCATGTCCCAAAATTCCCAAATTTTCATACATCTTCACCAGGCAGCACCAGAGACCTCACATCCCACAATGTCCAGTGTGGTGGCCAGGTAATATGCCTGCCAATCTCTACAGGGTGGCGACGTAGATCTCAATGCTCTGTAGGCAGCTGAGTGTTATGCCAACATTTCTCCAAAGGATGTCGCCAGAGAGCTCACTTCCTCCAATGTACTGCTACGAGCATATGCTATGCCCACACATCTACACCAGATGGCACCAGAGAGCTCATTTCCAACAATGCCATGTTTTTTTTGGCACAGTGCTAGACCCATACATTTCCACTAGGTGGTAGCAGAAATCCTCCTTTTCTCAATGCCCCGTGGGTGGTCGGGTGCTGTGCCCATATATCTCCACAGGATGGCGCCAGAATCTCGCTTCCCACAATGGTCTGCTCACAGCCATCACACATCTCCATAGAGTGACATCAGAGAGGTCATTTCTCACAATTCCCAGTGGGTGGCTAGGTGCTATGCTCGCACAACTCCATGAGATGACATCAGAGAGCTAATTTTCCACAATGCCTTGAAGTTGGCCAGGAGGTTTGCCATCACATCTCCACAGGGTGGCACCAGAGAGCTCACTTCCCACAAAGCTCAGCACGTGGCCAGTTGCTATACCTGCACATCTTCATGGGGTGGTGCCAGAGGGGTTATTTTCCACAATTCCAGGCAGATGGCCAGTTCCTATGCCCACACAATTCCACAGGGTGGCACCAGCAAGCTCGCTTCCCACAATGCCCTGCTGATGTCAGGCATTGTTACAATGTCCTGCTAATAGCACATGGCTATGTCTCCACATTTCCATGGGGTGGCTCAAGATGGCTCACTAACCACAATGTCCAGCAAGCAGCCGGTTGTTATGC